ATGTCTTCAGAGTGCTAAAGGAAAATTATTTTATTTTATTTGATGGTTGATTTTAAGTAATCTCTACACCCAACGTGGGGCTCAAACTTAAAAGCCAGAGATCAAAAGTCACATGCTCTTCCAACAGCCAGCCAGGTGCCTTAGGGAAAATGATTTTTTAACCTAGATTTTTATACTCAAACTATCAACCAATAGCGAAGATAGAAGAATGACTTTCAGATATGCAAAATTTCGAAAATTTACCATCCCTGTACCTTTCTCACTAGACAGTGTGCTCCACCAAAACAAGAGTAAACTGGGGGAAAATAATGGGAGCCACAAGATTCATGCAAGAGTGGATTCAGCACAGAAAAAAAAGAGAAAGGGACCTTCCAGGGTAGTGAAAAAGGAGATATTAGCATAATAGTTGTGCAGAAGCTTTAGAGAGCAATAAGTTTAGATTGGAACAGGAGGACAGAGAGCTTCAGGAAAAACAAATGAAACTGATAAAGGATTTTTGCCATGTATAAAATTGTTCTGTGAAAATTCAACAGCTTTATCAGACAGTGTGGAAAAACTTCAAAATTCAAGTTAAGGTAAACAAATTTAAAAACGAGACAATTGTTAACCCCAGTAAAAATCAAAAGTTACACACAGAATGAACTGTTACCATAATATACCATATGTATCAGCAATCAATGATATTTAGATAGGTATAATACAAAAAATACCAAATATGAATTTAACTAAAAATTGTGGCATACCTATATTGAAGGTTTGAAGGAGCATAAGGAAGTATATAAGAGCTAAAAATCCTCAACTGTAATAGAAAGTCAACAAATAATGTCTAAAATTGATTAATCAAGGGGTGCCAGTGTGGCTCAGTCCCTTAAGCATCCAACTCTTGAATTTGGCTCAGGTCATGTGTGAATGATCTCACAGTTGTGAGATGGAACCCTGTGTCAGGCTCCACGCTGGGAGTGGAGTCTGCTTAAGATTCTCTTTCTCCATGGGGCATCTGGGTGGCACAGCTTGTTAAGCAACCAACTCCTGGTTTCAGCTCGGGCCCTGAACTCAGACTCATGAGATTAAGCCCTGCTTCAGGCTTGGTGCTCAGCACAGAGTCTGCTTAAGATTCTCTCTCCTTCTGCCCCTCCCCGCAGGCTCTTGCTCTCTCTTTCTTTCACTCTCAAATAAATAATCTTTAAAATTACACAAAAGACTCTCCTTCTCCCTCTACCCCTCCTCTCTCTCTCTCTCTCTCTCTCTCTCCATCTCTCAATAATAAATAAATAATAAATTGATTAATCAAGAGATAACCGAGAGAGAGAGAGAGAGAGAGAGAGACCAGTGGTGGTATGGTATTTACAAACCCAGAAGTAAATACCAGAATGAAAAGCAAAAAAGACAAGAAAGTGGTTGCTTCTGATGAAAGGTGGGAGGGAGGCCTAGGAACTGCTTTGTTGTTGACACAAACTTTTTAGCATTTCTTAACTGTTAAAACTATGTGTGCATATCACTTTGACAGTCTTTGGTTTTACTTTTTAAAGAAGAGCATAAATTAAAAGAGATTGCAAATACCGCTCTAGGCAATATAGCCTTTCTATGGAAATTTTAACTCCACTGCAAGTTATTGGGCAAGAGAGAAATATGGCCATGTTTTTCATATGTTTGTTTCTTCACTTACTGTCCCTCTCACAGGAATTTACACTGCAAAAGATCAGGAACAAGAGATGTGCTAGGAAACATTTGACTCTATATAGAGGAAAATAGCTCTTACTTGTATCATTTACCAATTTCTGTGGTGCAAATACTCCCGATGGCTGGTTTCTAGCTACCAACATGATGCCACTGGACACAGAATTGGGAAAAAGTGCGCACCATCAGCTTTTGTAAACAAGTTCCAACACACCACTGACAAAAATCTTGTCTTGTTAACTGTTCTATCTGGTGTTCCACACAATGCATGGCGCATGGCAGGTGCTCAGCAAATAATTATTGATCTGTTGACTTAACAGGGCAAAAACAACAGGAGTCCAGGGACAAATAAACAATGCACTACATCTTTTGATCTAAGAAAATATCATTTGGAATTCTGAAAGCAAAATAATCTTGAAAGCTAAAACTATTGAGCAATTTTCTGCTAGGAATCAGAAAACTTCAAGAGTAGGGAGCTGAAATCAGATTCAAACTTAGATGGTAAGTATAAGGTCATTCTGGCCCCACGGAAGAAAAAGTGGAAAGGAAGGAAACTGTGAGCCAGACATTCTGCTAGTTACCTTACACGTGTAACTTTGTTTAATCTTTGCAATAATCTTAGAAGATGCAGATCACTAACCCATTTTACAGATGAGAACACTGAGACTCAAAAAAGTGGAAGTAATTTGCCCAAGGACACACAGCTAGTAAGAGTGGAACCCTGGTACTTAAACCCAAGTGTATCTAACTCTTTATCATATGCTCTTTCTCCTACACCAACTGCCTTCAAAAATTTAGCAAATTAATTTAGGCAAAAGAAGGCTTTGTTTATCAGAAATCTGAAGATAACTGTGTCATCCTTCTCTTAGTCTTTGGTTAGGAGGGTATACCCTAGGAACCTGCAAAGAGGGGGAGGAAATGCATCCAAACAAACTGTTTTATAAGATCTAGATCCTTTGCTTTAACTCTCTCTATTTTCTTGTCTAAAGCAGGGTACATGCTGCCTAGCAACAAAGATAGTGGTGTCTTTTCTTTTCTTGCCTTAATTACCTTATGTTTTCCACAAGGTATTGTGGTGTAATAAGGTGTAATATTTGGATCAAATATTACAAGTAGTAGGTCTGAATTTTTTATATAAAATATCTGTTCAGATATATGCATGTACAATACACACACATACAAACACATACACACAACACACCCCTTTCTCCTTCCCTCATTTCATGATTAAAGTAAAAAGATGTACTCTGTATCGATGTGGTGTCGTATCATTGGCTAAAAAATACAAAAATTCACCATCTCTTTGCTTGCCTGTAAATAACACCAAACAACTGGTTTGAGCAACCATTCTTAGGAATCTGAGGGATTCTTGCAATTCATGACCAAACTGACCACTTGTTTTTAAACATCTGTGTGTCTCCTAAAAGAAAGATTTATTATAAACATCTCAGTAGCAATAAAGTTCAAAATCTGCCCTGTTAATATTTCTGCTGGTCACCTTTTTTCATTAGAACGAGAATCAGCAAAATCTTTGTTATCAATACTTAAACTAAACCTAAGTTTTATCTGAATTATTTGTTCAGAGGCAGAAGCAGTCCACGGGATAAAGAAATAAATGGTGGATATAAAAAAGAATATCTTTGAGAATGTGAGTGTTAGACACAATCAGCTGCCTCCCTGACAGCCTTCTTCCCTGCTAACAGAATCTCAAATCTGTTCACATTTTTCCAGCAGCCATAGGTTAACCATGATGCTTTTGTTCCTCTTCCTAAATGATTGATTTTGGTATGTATATGAGACATGAATGTGATCAAGAAAGTGTGGAGAAAAGTCTGCCTGAGGAGCTTCTGGGAAAGATTTCCTCACTCTTAAAAAGAGACACAAGAAAAGATCATTGCCCATTTTTATCTGGAGGCAGTTCCACCTATAATATGTAATGTCTGGAACTGTGGCAGCCATCATGGGACCTTAAGACCAACCAAATAACGATGGCAAGATAGCATGCTACGGCTTGTAAAATGGAAAGATGAGTCAAGTGTGGTTCATTGATAACATCGTTGGGCTGATGAATAATGGACCCTTGAGCTCCCATACCTTCAAATTTTGAAAAGAAAAATCACCTGGGCCATTTTGAGTTGAACAGTCTGTTACTTACAGCCAGAAGCATTGTAACTGATACATATGCTAGCAAATGCTAGAACTTTTAATTCTACTCATGTGTTATTCTAAATACTTCTAAAACTGACTGCCTTCTACATCTAGCCTCCAACCTACAAAAACCACCTCTTTATTTTTTCAAATCTAACTGGTATCTTTGGCCTCCCCACCTTCTTCCCATATTCCTTGTCTTTTTTGGATGTTTCCTCTTTGTTTTTGTCTTTGCTCTCCATTCCTTTCTCTGCTTTGTTCCCCTCCCTGCTCCTTTACCTTCCTCAGGCCCTTTAGTGTCTGTGATTTGAATCTGAAAAGTGTTTATACATATATTCATTTATACACATGTAAATATCACATCTTACATATTAGAAGGGAGGAATTCTTCCCCATTCCAAACTATTCCTTTCATACAGAGATAGCTCTACTAGCAAAAAAACATCTGACCTCTCCTCACCCCCTTACTCATTCCCTCCCACAAAAGAGGAGTGTTTTAACCTGACTGGTTAATTTGGAAGGAGAACTAAGGATATACAACCCAGCCCTTCCTAACTTCTTTCTCTTGGGAGCCACCTACCTATAGGAAGCACATACTCCACTATGCTCCTCCAGGCTGTACATTTCACAAAAGGCACGCCCTTGTGGTGCTGGAATATGGTGGTCCTACAATGTTGTTGACTAGGTAGGGAAGTCTGGGTAATCCTCAGATTCAGTACTGGGAAGCTCAAATGCTTACAAACAGAAGCCATATTCTCTAATACCAGTTTTATCAATAATAAATTTAATATGGTCTTATACACCAGCTCTCTTTGATTTTGAATAGATTTAGAACTATTCAAACCAGCTGAACTTGGGTCAGACATAAGAATTCTCTAGCTCCCTTGAATAGCACTAGTATATTATAAAATTTTTGTTTCCCTCTTCTTAAATAGATTTTACTTATTCTTCACAGCTGCATGCTGTCATTATGGGCAGCTTGACAATTAAAAAAAAAAAAGCTTCAACAACGTGTCTTTGTTTTACAAATGTTTCCTGCAAACAAAAGGTGTTTTTAATTTGTGCATGGTTGCCTCTTCTTGACTGGGTTGCCTATGCAATAGAGGCTTTTCACAGGAACAATATTGACCTTGTTGTTTGAGGGTCTCCACTTATGATAACTTATAAATCTGCACTTACCTGATCTGACTCCAACTTCTCAGGAATTTCATGTATAGCTGCTGCCTCAGTATAGGCTTGATAGAAGGTTTTTTCTTGGGACTCCACTGTAATGGTCAACACAGCATCATAGGCTTCCCGGAGTTTCGGGTTGTTCCTCAGGACCTGGTAGGCGGTATGCTTATAAAGTAAACTGTAGAGCAGAGCATCATAGGGAACAAAGACGTAGTTTTTCATCAGTCATTTTCACATCATGAGCCCATTCCAAGAGATGCATCTGAGTCTCTCCCCCAATCAAGGCCGAATGCACATACATGATGATTACTGAAACCAATAAAGCAGGAGGATTATGGCAGTAATATGTTAGTAAAATAGAATTCCAAAAACCACAGATCAGGAAAAATAAATAGATGTGTTATAACCAACTGGTAAATGATTTTTATCTTGCGCCTCTAAGATGATCAAGGTGTTGAAGCGCTGAGCTAAGGCTGAGGTATGCTCAGGACCCTGGATTCGGCAAAGGGAGGACACAGATATGACTACAGCCTACAGAGCCTACTACTAGACAGGAATAAAAATAAATTTAGCAAATGGGAGGTAGCATAATGAAGAGGTTTTGGGATTGGAAGATTCAGGTTTATATCTTAACATCACTAGTCATTGTTAGCTGTATACCCTTAGCTTACCTCTCTCTGCCTCACTTATAAAATGGAGATCATAAATATGTACTTCATAGGGTGGTAGTGTTGATTGAAGGAGCAATTCGTATAATGGGCTAAGCACATAGCACTCAAAAAATAGTACCTAAGAATAAGAAGGCTAAAGGGTGAGGATGGGGGATATTCTCAGAACCACCACTGCTACTTATGGCCCTACTCCTGCAAACATACATTCCAATAGATTTTGCACAACTGTTCCCACCCTTACCATGGCCATTATAGACAATGAATGGCACTAGCTCACACTCACCTCTAAATGCTAATAATATTATCAGTGATATGTTCAACTTTTAAAAATCTAACTTCCCTGTAATTGGAATTACTTTGCTCTCTATTAATTCCTCCTAGACTTAGGAAACTATGTTGTTTGGTAAGGCTATGCTAGAATAGAGTGGATTAGAGGAGGCCACGGTTGAAGAATGGCAGCAAGATCATGAGACTGAAAGTCTTCTATCCAATTTCGCCCTTGGCATGCTAAATGAGTCTAGTTTAAGCCCACTTGTGCTTCAGTGCCCACATCTTTAAAATGCAGATTCCAAAGCATTTCACAGGTACATTGAGTAGTTTAATTAGATAATGCCTGGCAAGTATTCTAGTTCCTCGAAGAAAGGCAAAGGTCCTATTGATATTGGTAAATATTAATTATACGTGCTTTCACGGAACCTTTAATCTCAGGAAATGAGTATGCTTAACTGCATTCAATGACTGGTCTTTGGCATTTACATATTTCTTCATCTATTTCCAAAAACTTTTTTACACTCGTTAAATAACCCCCAGAAAATTTCCCCTTTGACCTAGAGCTGATAATTTCAGTTTTTTAAGGTGTAACTAGCAAGTTATGATGATGATTTAAAGCACATACACACACACAGTGTAACTTTCAGTTTTCAAATGACCATTAGTTCTTTCAATATAATTGCCCTAAAAGGTTCTACGTGTATTCTGATCCTTAAATCTTCCTTCAAATACTCTGGGATATCTTTGGAGCTAGTTCATGAGCCACTCAAGGAATTCAAACTCCTTTGTTCATAATTACACATTGCATAATGGGAAAATGGAGTGCCAGAGAGGTTTGACAAGGCAAAAGCTGGATTTAGAAGGAAAAACTAGAATCAAAGTCATCTAAGTCTCTAAATTTGGTTGCACCATTAAACATGAAACAACATAAACATAAACATAAACATTAAACAACTAGTCCAGTAACAGGTCCACTGAGGGGGAGAAATGAGGTAAGTCAGTTGTTTCAGGTAGTTGGCCAGTTTGTCCACCAGGATCCTTAGCAAGCAAGTCAGTATTGGCATCTTTCTTCAACAAAAACAGAGATTAGGTGATTTGACCAAGATTACCCAACAGAGATAAAATTTTATTTACTATATTTCAAGGAATATTAAAATTACTTCACTAGATGGAATGTTAAATGGAATTGTGTTGGTTGAAATACAGCAAATACTTTAACATACACTCTGTGTAGTGGGTGCTGTGGTGCACCACCCATCTGCACCCTTCACAACTGACACACTCGTTCTCCTAGCTCCTGGGGGTGGGGCTGTGTCAGGAGATGGTAGCTAATACCTCTCAGAGAATTGCCCTCAGCTGAGGAGAGCCACTTCTCACAAGGTCACATCCCCTCAGAAGTGTGTTGGAGCTGGCTGGTACTAGTTCAGAAGAGCCTGTGGTTAAATTTTCAGGGATTCTGTGCACCAGTCAGTGTCAGACTGATAGCTTGAAATTGGGCATGGTGGGAGTGATTATGGAAATCTCTATGAAAATTGGCAAACATTATAAATCAGGGCAATCTTCCCCCCGACAAGCCGGCTATTCCACAATCATTATCACATTGTACCCCTTTCTCAACATCAGCATGTACCCAATGACTGGTCAAGGACTGTGTCTTATTTATCTCTGTATCCCGGTACATCTTATGCACCCAATGAACATTGTTTAAATGAATGCCTGAAAAATCAGAGGTTGTACACTTGGGTATCTTTTGTGGGTTCCTTGAGATGTAAGGCATGGGCATATCTGGATTGTTAGTATGGAGGAACAAGTTGAAGTGATATTTACCTGGCAGATAAATTCTACCATACTTGTCCTTGATGCTTAGTGTCATTAATTATGCTCAAGACCTTACTCTCGACCTTAATCTCTCCTTGTAATTTTTCTTTCATGGGCCCACACTAAGGATATCTTAGACAAAGAGTCAGAATTTTTATAACTGGAAAGACTCTTTGAGACCTACTCGTTCCTTTCATTCCCCTCATTATTTTACAGATGAGAAAACAAAGCCTTGGAAAGGGTATGATCTCAGTCTCCTCCACTTTTTACATGGCAAGATCTTGCCATTGAACATGACTGAAATAGAATGCATAAATACTGAATTCAAAAACAGCATCTTAATTTAATAGATTGAGTGCTTTGTGAACAGGGATTTGTGGGTGCATCTGTTCTACATGATGATTTTACTAAATAGCTTTATTATCTCAAAATTACATTCATTAAAATGGGATTTTACCTGTAAGTTGTTGTCAGGCAAGGATTAGTGGACAGAAACCTTAAATCCTCGACAAGGCCTGGGTCAACGGGTGATCACTGAATAATACTAATTTGTAAGTTTCCATCCTGATTGTTAACAGTCAGCCACTCTATAGCCAAAACAAGGATCAGGAGATACATCTTGCTGAGATCCCAGCTCACCATGATATGATACTAGCACTTTCTCTGTGCTTCCTGAGTCCCACTCAAAACATCAGCAACTATGTCTTCATACTGTGGTACCCACTAGGGCAGGCTCTCCAGGACCTTCTCTTTCACCCTCAACACTAGCAGCAAGAAACATCATGAAACTCCAGGAGAAGTTCATTACTAAGTCACTCTACTCCTACTTTTTATCTTCTATTGAAATATTCTGTCTGATAGTTCCTTCAAATTGAGGAACTGTGTTTCCCAGAAGACAAAGTTCACTTTTTTATTTTTTACAGATTACTGGTATAGAGTCCTTAGTGAAGGAAAACGGGCCCAGTCTCACACTTAAGTCCTTAGTCCTTATGAGTTGTATTCATACAGTGAGCCCACAGTATTGCTCCCAAGCCCAGAAAGCACCCCGCCCCTGCATTCTAGTGTTCTTTATCTTCATTTTAACCGTTCTGCAACATCCCCTATCACTGGTGTGTGTGTGTGTGTGTGTGTGTATATCTATATCTATATCTATATCACTATATATTTTAATCTATTTCATTTTAACAAATGTTGGGGGGGCAGTACACAAGCCAGAGGAAGGGGGGCATGCTCTGTGATTTATCCCAAGTCTCACATTCCCCCAGGGTTCAACCATCTGACAACACTGTGAAAGAAGTACACCCGGACCCTCTTCCTGTCAGCTTTCTTCCACGCAGTCTATAAAATGGATGCATAAGAAGAAGGTGGGAGGCTCTGGAATCAGCCTGCTTCCCAGCTCACCCCCCACTGTGATTGGGTGCAGGCAGTCTTCAGAGCACAATTTAAGAACAGGGCACTGGGCAATGTGTGACTGTTTCTTCCAGCTAAGGACACCCCCCCCTCCCCCACCACCCTGGACACACACATTTTTGGCTTTAAGTCCAGAGACCATCACTTACTTACCTGCCACCCATGTTGAACCCATACAAGTAGCTCAGCATGATGTCAGACACACATTACATTTAATGGCCATTCCACCTACACTAGGTCATGTTTTCTTATACCCAATGTAACTGGTATTCCAAGTGCATTTATTGCTTTCACATCGCGGCCCAGCTTGAGATAAGTTTTTAATATTTCTCTACACCTTGCAACATATGTTTTCTTCAACTTTTTAAAAACTGCTATCCAGGTAAGACCTCTTAAATGTTGAAAGCTTAGATGCTGGATACTTCTACAGAAACTTCTTTGTGTGCTGGATCTCCAATAATTTTATCATTGCTGATATCAAACCCATTCATGACGGCAGGTTGTCTTTCACCATTTACCTTTATGTAGGCTTATCCATACCAAATCCTATACAAAATGCCCTATCAACACGAAGGCTCTTAGCCACGGTATTATCAATATCACTGTTGTTATGACTATAGGAAAATAAGGCCAATGCTGGCTACCTTGAGGCACTTAAAAGAATTTCATCAGTGGGCCCAACAATTAAGAAAGAAAAATGGAAGAACTGAATTATACAACCTACGTGGCACACATGGTTTCAAGTGAGTATGCTTTGGGGACATACCTCAGGTAGACAGGAGGCAATAGAGTGTAAGTCTTTCATCAGACCAGTGGTTCTCAAAGAATGATCCCTGGACCAGCAGCATGGCACCACTATGAACTGGTTAAAAATGCAAATTCTGGGGCCCTTCCCCAGCATTTCTTTCTTTTCCTGAACCAGAAACTCTGGAGAGGGAACCCCGAAATCTGTGTTTTAACAAGCCCTCCAGGGGATCCTGGTAAACACCAAGGTTTGAGAGGCACTGTTTTAGAGCAACCTGAGTACATAGCTTGGCTTTCCCATTCACAAGCTGTGTGACATTTGGCAAGTTATTTAACCTCTTTTGGCCTCTGAAATCTTATCCATAAAGTGTGTTAAATAATAATTAACCTTATTACTTAGGGATGTTGCAAGAACTGAATGAGAAGGTCTGTACAAAACCCTTGCAAGGGGCCCCTGGGTGGCTCAGTGGGTTAAAGACTCTGCCTTCTGCTCAGGTCATGATCTCAGGGTCCTGGGATCAAGACCCGCATCAGGCTCTCTGCTCGGCTGGGAGCCTGCTTCCTCCTCTCTCTCTGCCTGCCTCTCTGCCTACTTGTGATCTCTGTCTGTCAAATAAATAAATAAAATCTTAAAAAAAAACCCTTGCAAAATGAAATGACTAGCACACAATAAACCCTCAGGAAATATTAGCTATTACCAAAGTTGCGATTATTTCTTTGTTTTTTTTTTTTTAACGTACAGTAATCTTCAATAGATGGGAAGAGGTTAGCTGGCAATAACATAGTAATAAGGTTTTCAATTTTGTACAAACAAGAGAAGACCATTCTGTGTCCTATTTTCTAAATATCCCATTGTAATGAAGAAGTCCTGATTTGAAAGAATTTAAAGGCATCCCCAATGGTTCAACAACCTGGTTAGTCCAAATGGAAAGGATTTCACAATGAGCCAAGCATTGATAGGAAAAAGGTGAGGAGAGGAGGGTTTGAAATAGCCATTTGAAAAGTTCTCCAAAGAGCTTTTCAGTGGGGCCTCCTGCTAGCCTCTGTGAGAATTGGCAACAAAACAAAACAGAACAACAACAACAACAAAAAAAAAAAAAAACCTCTTCTGGGTAATTGCAATCCAACAGGTGTTCTGCCTAGTGAATGGATGTTCTTTTACGCCATGGGATCAAAACTTCTACAAGGGCTCATGGTTTAAATAGAGAATGAACTGGATTTCAGCCCTCCTGCCCACTCAGCTAGATCCCCTGGTGCAGGACACAACCTCCCATAAGTAGGCACAGCAGCCCTGACTGTAAATTGCGGCCCTTTGTCTTCGATTCCTATCTTCCCTATCTGACTCGGTCAGAAACAAAGATTATTGGTAATTGCTTCTGAAGCTTCAAGGAAATGAGCCGAGCATCTGGGAGAGGCCGAATCCCCCCTTCTCTGGGATTTCATTCACCACATTGTTTGTTGTGAATAAGACCTATACCTACCTACTTGTGATGTGAGACTCACAGGTGTTGTAAAACTTGAAAGGAAATACCTTTCTTCTGGGTAATCCTGAGGATTAAATGAGATTAAGTATATGCAAATACCTTGTAAACTGTAGAGAGCTGTTCACATATAAAGTGGTATTATGGATACGTTCATTGTCTCTAAAGGCAGCATCTAATAACCCCCCTGCTGTTTCCCCTCCAAAGAGCCCATGGCCATTATTATTGTTATTATCATCTTTACTGTTAAATGTTAGCACTGTCTCAGTATTGTGTAAGCACCATTTAGACCCCTTTCTGAGAAAGATGGTTCTTCTGACTCTAGCAAGGTGACAGTGATATTTTTAATTGGAAACCTAAATTTACAGAAATGAGGAGCCACACACCAGTCCGCAGTAGACTCCCTTTCTCTTCCCTGCCTCCCTGCCACTGTTCCTCACTACCACCACCACGTGGGGCTGGAATCACTGTTATTGTGAGCAGATTGGACCAAACCCATCTTTTTCCCATTTTTATTACTGCCCGATATTGCTGGGCCTCTCCAAAAGACAGGATCCATTTCCACCGTATTTTGTACATCACAAAATGTCCTTCTGTGAAGGTTCGGGTGGGGACCCACTGTGTAAGGAAGAGCCTCATATCCAGCGGAATAGGGAAGGCAAGGCTCAGAGGAGCTCCCACAGAAAGCTTAGTGCCTTTTCCATCAAGATAGATAACAGCTAGGAATACTCCAGCAGTTTCGGTCCCACCAGGTAAGAGAGACTAGAAAAATGAGCCAGAGATTTGATCTGGTATATGCTGTACTTTGTTTGTTGTAACCTTTCTCATGGCCCTGTTGCTCCAGTCCATAGTCATTGGCCTCTGACTCAGTTTCTCACCGGATCTCTCACTTTCTGATGGGACCAGAAATGGGCCCTGTACCCCAGGCTGCTTGGTTCAAGTCCTGGTAGTCTATTTATGTTCATACTCCGGATCCTACTTCTCATGCTTCTACTGGCTGGGGCACAGCTCTCACCTGACAATAAGCCTATCTTACTTTGACTCACTCCCCTTCCGTGACTTCTAGCATCACACCCCACTCACCGCTTTGTCACACCCTCAGATGCCACCAAATGGCTGTACCAAATGTGAGTACTACACACCTTTGGATACTCCATACTGTCAGAGGTCATACCCAGGCCGCAGCCCAACTGATAGCTCAGTTTCCCTGCTCCCCACCCCCACCCACATTCTGACTCCTGTCACAGAGTTCCGGACCTGTCCCATCTGAGTCTGTCTGTGTTTTGTCCGAAACAAGAAGCAAAATCCTGCAGGGCCGAGCTTTGACTTTGCTGCCTTTTCTCTCCCTTTCTGAGTCCCTACTTCACTTCCCGTTGCTGTCCTCCGTACCCAGGGTCGGCCTCTGCTCGATAACCACAGAATTTCCTCTCTAGGCTTCCCCCTCCCCAATCTTAAAACTTCCATTCCTGTAACAGGCTGCTGCATACTGTTATGAAGAAAAAAGTCTGATTAAACAATGTTATATTAAAGTAATATTATATTAAACAACGTTATATTAAAGTCAACTTAAAGTAAGGAACATTTATTTGCATTTTCATTAACTTAAAGCAGTGGTTCTTTTTTTTTTTAGATTTTATTTATTCATTCGAGAGAGAGGGAAAGCAAGAGAGATCACAGAGGGAAAGGTTGCGGACTCAAGGCTGAGCGGAGAGCCGGATGTGGGGCTTGATCCTGGGACCCTGAGATTATGACCGGAGCCGAAGGCAAACACCTAACCGACTGAGCCACCCAGGTGCCCCAAAAGCAGTGGTTCTTAACCCTGGCTACATTTTACATGCACCTGGGAGGACACTGAAAATACCTCTGCTGGGGCCTCATTGCAGACCACCAAAACCTCTGGATGTAGCATTCTGGCACCAGTTGTTTAGAAAAGATGTCCAGGTAATTCTAGTGTGTAGAGTGAGAACCATCGACCTACAGGAATGAATCTCAAAGAGTAGGGCCATAATATGTACATTTGCTATCTCTCTGCCTCAAAGGACGTGTGGGTGGTGAGCACTCAATCCTAACTTCTCTCAGCCCAAAGAGTTTCAGGGCCTGGATTTATTTAACATTTCATGGTAGAGGCCAAATTGTCGTTTCAAAGAGTATACTATTTAGAATGGGTGGGGTGCGAATCTCTCATGGAATGTAAGCTTGCAGGAGACACTGGACTTCGTGAAGATTTGTAACATATTCTAAAGTTATACTAAATCTGTGAGCCTGTTTCTGGCATGACTCCTCCCTGGAAATGGTTTTATATCTTTCAAAATAATTCTGTGCTCTGCTTTGAAAGTATCAATCTCTATTATGAAGTAATCAAAGCCACACTGATTGCTTAACATTATAGGATCTTGTAGACTGGAGCTGGAAGCAGACAACTGCAGTTCCAGGAACTAAAACTTCTTGCCCTCATCTTCCCATAATGATCGTAATGAAGGTCCAAATACTGGTGACACTTGAAACTTATAATGGGCTTCTGTTTATCGGCCAGGCTAACCCTGACCATTCTCTAACAAACCCATTGTTATCTTAAGGAAATGACTGGGACCAGGACTAATCCTAGCAGTCATCAATTTGACAAGTAGTTTCTGAGCCCTCCGTTCGTTCTCAAGCACTGGAGTGGCTTACAATAGCAAAATGAGCCGTGTTCCCACAAATCACTGACACTTTCCAGGAAAAAAAATCTAGTTTTAAAAAAACTGGAATAGAAAATATCGAAAGCAAGTGCCACAAGGTCCTGCAATAAAAGTAAGTAAGAGACACTGGACTCCAGAGGACCAGGAACGGCTCTTCTTCCCCCAAACCACCTCAGCTAGGTCTGGTGACAGTAGCTTTGCTGGGGTCTGCCCTTTGCTTCAGGTTTTGTCCATGGTCTCTGCAAGAATCACCTTCAACATCAACCTTCTCTTGGAAGGGGAAAGGTTAAAATCTGGGCTGACTCCTCATTTTAATATACTTTTATTTATCAGCTAGGTCCCTGGGAATGGCACATGAAAAGATAAGCCCTGTTTTGGGGGGGCAAGGGAGGTGAGTGCAGAGGACGGAAGGGAAGTGTATATTGTGGAGTCCAGAGAAGACAGGTTCCAAGTGAAAGGTGATGAAGCAGGTGGCAAGAATGGGCCAAAACAGAGCCACAAAAGCACCCCTCTTTGGCTGATCTCAAACTACTGGGGTCCTACAGGTGTGGAAGGTGTGTGGCTCCCGTTGCTCTTGATGCTGAGAGTAGGCACTGGGACCCAATGGCATTTATAACCACTTTGTACCTTTATTTCGTTCATCAAACAGGCTCCCTTGAAGCTGAACAGTCTTGGAGCCTGAGTGTGAGTGCAAGAGGGCGGATGCCTGATGTGCTCTCCTAGGGTGCGAGGGTAAGAAACCTTTTGGAAATTGTCCTATTCCCAGCACACACACCCCCCCTTCCCCGGAAGCCACGTTTAAACCTCAGCGGGGAGAAAGCGCTCACTGAGAATGCTGTCAGCCTGACGAATCCGCAGGAGCGCGGTCCGAATGCTGCGGCTGTCTTGTCCTGAGCTCAGGACGACCCCTACCGGTAGGCCCCGGCTCTGCAGAGCGCTTGGTATTCGATTGGCGGCGTGCACCCAACGTCTTCATCTAGGAGACGACTCCGGCGTGAGCCCACTGGAAGTATCTCATGACAGTTACCAGCACCCGGCCCGGAGAAGGGAGTGTCCGAGAAAAGGTCTGGTGGCTGATTTTATTGTCTAATTCGTAATTCACACAAGCCCAAGAGAAAAGCCCTTTGTTCCAACTGTTTCCCAGGAGCGAGGCGGCCTCGCAGTTGCCGGGGTTGACAGGGCCAATGAATCTGGTGGTGGCCATCTGGTGGTGAACAATGAAACTGCAAAGGGCCCCGGCGGTCTGGCAGTCTTCATTGAGAATCACATATGCAAAAGAGCAACCCGCGTCAAACGACGGGTTTGAAGCGCTCAATGGCTAAGCCAGCAGCAACCTCAGGCAGAGCCTTTGAGAACAACGGGTCGCAAGTCCAAGGGCCCACTACCCCTATCTTGTAGAGGGGCGCCCACACCCACTGTGGGATGCACGCGAGGGCCAGGAGGCACGAGCACCATAGGGGCTTGAAGGCTGCAAGGCCATGGTGTTTTCGCTGTCTTCTGAGAGCCGCACACCAGAGCATAAGGTGAGAAGAAGGCCATGGTCCCCAAAACATAGCCCTCCTGCTTCCAGCAAACTAGTGAGGAAATGTCTGAAGGTTAGTCTGCTTTCCTGAGACGGACCGTTGTGTTTCCAAATGCCTGTCAATAGGAGGGAGAAATTCATTACTTGCCTTATTCCTGAAGCTTCTGGAAAGACTGATTATAAAAGAATGGCAGTTCCCAAACCACCTTGACCAAAAACGCCTCTCCTTCCCGCACTGTCTGTACTCCTTGTCTCAATAGATGGCACCTCCACCCACCGTTTGGCCCCTTGTTCCAGGCAGAAACCTGCTAGTCAGCTGATGCTCTTCCTTCATCTCTGCCCCCACATTCAATCTATTACCGAATCCTGTTCGTTGGCAACAGCTACCCACTTCACAACGTTGTGAGGATTATGTGGATAAACATACAGCAAGCACATGTTGTTAGCATTATATTAGTGATATTATTATTATCACTTCTATAGTTTAAAATGTGCTCATTTATCTCCACCCTAATGCCTCTTGGAGAGAGACACAGATATAAACCCATAATGGCAATGCAGAATTTAAAAAATAGTATGATTTTATGTAGATCCGCAGAGGAGAATAGAGAGGATCACCCAAACTCTGATTTCAAGGGGAGGTGAGGAGAGAGAAGAGACAGTCCCTCCAACTTGAGTACTGAAAGAAAGGTTAGCCAGGTTAATGGGGTTATGAGGGTGATGGTACTAAGCACCTTCCAGGCAGAAGGAACAGCATATAGTAAGACACAAAGGTTTTTTTTTTTTAAGAAAAGTTTTTGTTTTTTTAAAGATTCTATTTATTTAATTGAGAGAGAAACAGAGAGGACACGAGTGGGGGCAAGGGCCGAGGGAGAAGGACAAGCAGATACCCCAGTGAGTGGGGAGCTGGTCTCAGAGCTCGATCCCAGGACCCTGAGATCATGACTTGAGCCAAAGTCAGACACAACCAACTGAGCCACCCAGACCAGGCACCCCTAAAAATTATTTTTAAAGAAGAGGATATGTTAGATACTCAGAATTCCAAGGCATTTGTTTTGTTCAAATCTATGATGGCAGCTAAGGCAAGGACCAGGTCACCAAGATTCTTATATGCCATTCACAGGTTTTTAGATTTAATCCTGTAAACAATAATTTTAGGCAGAGAAATGGCATAATCAGATTTCCATTTTTAGAAGATTGTTCAAATAGCAGTGTGATGAACAGGCTGGAAAGGGGTTAAGACTGGGGACTTCCAGGTTCAAAGTTGTTGTATTAAGTCCATATTGGAAATGATGACAGACCAAGAGAGGGGTCATGAAGATATAGAAGAATGGAGAGGAATTCCACCAAGATTAGAAAATATCAAAGAGATTAAGAAAGTAGAACCGACAACAGCTTGGTGACTGACAGAATGGAGAAGGTAGGGAGAAAAAGGACCCCCGGATGATTCTGAGCTTTTCAGACCTAGGCAACTGGTTGGAAAATGATATAAGTCTTTGAGATAGGGAACACTGGAGGAAGGTGGTGAAAATATAATGCATTCCATTAGACATGGTGAACTCATAAAGCCTGTAGAACATACAAGTGGCAATACTCAGGACAATTTGACCCACTGGATCTCATCATAGAAAGCTGAGCCAGAGAGAGAAATATGAGTGTGATCAATTGATAGAGAAGAATTAAATACATAGAAGATTGACAAAAGAGAGTTGTGAGGTAAAGAACAGGATACAGCCCTGAGAATTCATGTCACTTAAAGGTCAGGCAGAGAGGAAAGAGGTCATAATGAAAACTTAAATGGCAAGGCCAGGGAATCAGCAAAATCCAAGAGACAGGGTGGTATCTTACAATCCAAGGGAGCTGAAGCTTGGGGGATGAAAAATGTTTATCCCATCTCACACTCCCTTGAGAAGTCAAGTAAGCTAAAGATAGAAAAGGAGCTGCCCATTAGATTTGGATTCAGAGTAAGGCTGCCAGTTAAGGGGACCACAGTGAGTCAAAAATGAATGGGAATTAGTGAAGTGGAGTCAGCAAATGTAGAGAACCCTTTCAAGGTGATACATGCAAAGGGTTTCTCCATCTAGCCCTTGCCTTTATCCCCTAATCTCCCGCTGTTTTCACTTGATGCTGCAGTAAATTTCCTGCAGACATTTATCACTTAGCCTATCGGGCATAAGATTTGTAAAATGCCATTCCTTATGCTTGAAATTCCCCTCCCTTCCTGCCTTTCACATTCTACTCCTGGGTTCTGATGAACTTTACCTTCAAGATCCACTTGAAGTGTTCCCTCCTCTGTGCAGCCCTAGTTAACACCTTCAGATTGAGTTCATTGTTTTTTCCATCTGTGCCTCATACCCATTAGGGAAGATGTCACTGTGATTTATAAATTGCCCCTACTTCTGGTCTACATTTTGGCATGGATACAATTGGATATCTCTACATTTACGGGACCTCATACTTCCAACCACAAACAATGAGCAATAACGAAGGCAACTCCCTATGGGGAACAGAGCCCACTGGATTGGGAACTTCTAAAGGTCTTCTTCATGGTCCTCATGCCTAGTCAAGTTCCCAGCATAGTAGCTATCAAATAAATATTTGTGAAATGAATTCATAAAACATTAAGGATGATCCAAGGTCAGTAATAACCTCACCAGGCGTAAGTAGAATGAATTGCTTGGTGGGAGGGAGGTGTTAATGAGGGAAATCCTTAGTGAATTTTTAATTCCATCCAAAGATCAAAATAATGGCATGGCTCTTTTCAAGGCTGATAATTAGTGCTGGTGTGTACCAGTCAAGCTCAACTGGTGGTTCATTACCAGCAACAATTCTGCCTGTGCCAGTCTTGTTGGTTATTATCTTGAGTCTCATTCTTAATTTTATGGGAAAGTCTGACTCCTCAAGAGACCAGTCAGGGGCACACATTCAGGATCTTAAAGACCTACCACAATAGTATACCTCAACATTTGTAAACAGGCGAAAGTGGGTTAAAATGAAGGTCAAGAAATACTTAGGGAGGAGATGTTTCAAAACAGCATGAGCCAGAAGCTGAAGGGTGTATATGATGGAGAAGGAAAACTTCCAACTTTACTTTGGGGGAAGTAAAAAAGTGGTTCTGGGATGATTATATCCATAAGTTCTTCAAATCTATTTGCAGACCTTCAGAGTAATCTAGCCCCAATCTCCATTCCCCCAAATAGATTTATTCTGTTTGCTGACTGTGTTGAAGGCATGAGGGTGAGATTCACAGTGGATGAGTTATGAGATGTAAACTTCACCTTCAAAAAGCTCCCAGCCCAACACTACAAGCTGAGCTCTAAGGAGCTCACATGCTTCTCTTCCCACTCTCCCCCAACCCCACTCTTTTATCTGTCATGGCAAAATTTGGGAGCCAGGGTACTCTCTGGGTAGCATGGAAGAGGTTCCTATATTTGGTCTGTATTGTGATGAGGTTATTGAACTAGATGATATCTCTGTCCTTAGAGGACCTTGCTCTTTCAACCACTAGGAGTAGACAATAGGGAGGGTAACTCTATATGGGGAAGAGTCCTGTCCACAAGCAACAGGGAAAAGTGGCCAACCAACTGCCTCTTCTCCCACAACACACCCAGTTTTGTGAGTTCTCTCCCATAAGTACTACATTTAAGCCAGAAACTAGCATTTGGTTAACAAAGACAAATATTTATTGAGTTCTTGCTATGACTCAAACACTGGGCAAAACTCATGTGTTATCTTCTTGTCAAAACTCAGTCAGACGGAAAAAATTCACCATAGTCTTTGAGGCAGGTATTATTGTCACCTACACTTACAGATGACGAAACAGAGGCTCAGAAAGGACAAGGAACTTGCCTGAGGGCACACTGTGGTAGAATGGGGATTTGTACCCCAGTTGATTAAGCAGTAAAACAGATAGACTGTTGACTGCCCCTAATCTGTGAAGTTACAGAGACCATTATTATACCTTCTTTGCTACACATATCAAGTTTGACTAATTCACTTGTGGTTTTAAAAATTCCCTTAGTCCGGGGCACCTGGGTGGCTCAGTGGGTTAAAGCCTCTGCCTTCGGCTCAGGTCATGATCCCAGGGTCCTGGGATCAAGCCCCGCATCGGGCTCTCTGCTCAGCAGGGAACCTGCTTCCTCCCCTCTCTCTCTCTGCTTGCCTCTCTGCCTACTTGAGATCTCTGTCTGTCAAATAAATAAATAAAATATTTTAAAAAATTCCCTTAGTCCCCCCATTAAAGAACAAATTACATAATGAGGGGTTGGGGGAAGAGTAAACTGGGAGGAGCAAACACATTCATTATCCAACCAGAAGGAATTCGCCTCTACTGTTGAAGCCCAGTCTTAGAACAGCTCTTTTTACTGGGCTTGGGAGGTACCAGTCACACTGTATTCTATATAGAGCTAATCCTAGTCTTTGAGAATGGAAATTTTGGTTGTGCAGATGTGGAATGTTAGTTCTGATTCTCAATTTCCTCACCAGTGAATTGGAGGTAAATTTAATTTAATGATTTTGAAGTGAAGGATTAAATAAGATAGAATGCTGAGCACACACTTTTCTTTAAATAAATACTAGTTCTTCCTTGCTGTTTAAAAAGAGGACTGCATGCGGAATCAGAAGGCCTGAGTCCTGAACCCAGTTCTGCCACTGACTTGCCATGTGACATTGAAGTTTTCATTCCTCCTCTCTATCTCTCTCGTTTTTTTCCCCCTCAGCTGGACTAGAGGATCTGCAAGTCCCTTTCCTCTCTCATATGCATTGATCCTGGGATTCTGTACATCTTCCAGGCAGTGACTTTATTAAACCTCTGCTCCTGTTAAACTGCTTTCCGAATTCATTCAACATTCTCTAGCCTTTGCTGTTCTAATTAGTTTTTCACTAGTGTTGTATTTCTGCAAGTGGTTTGTACTTACTTCTATCTGGCAGATCCAGTTCCTGATTGTTTTAAAATATTGGTCTAGAATCCTCTATCAAACACCTACAGTGTGAAGTGTGACCCCCACCCCCCACACACTCAGATCAAATGTT